TTCTTAAGTTTCATTTTAAATGAACCACGAGTTATTTGGGATCACAATCAGTGCTAACTGTACCGTGCTTACGACATAAATTTCTGACTAATATCTTTACATATGAATGTGAGGTCTAGTAATCCCTTTTAATTTTTCAGGGGACTGAATAGGAATAAGGACTAAAAAAAGGATGAATAAAAGCTGAAAAATTTTTCGAAACTGCTGACAGTTGTGTAACAGCGCGCAAATGGCAGGCAAAGCTTGTGCTTGTGTGCAAATGCGAAAGCGCTTTTTGATGACGTTCCGTTTGTGTGGATATGTGTTTCAGTGTCTGTCAATTATTTTCAGTTTTTTGAACAGGATAACTAGAAAGTTAAAATTTTATGAATCCTAATTACTAGGCTCATGTACAGAACCGTGTAAGAAATACCGATCGCAAGAAACACCTGGTCTTTTAATGCGCACCGCTATGCTTCAGTAATTTGATGAAACACTTTTCACTTGTAAGATGTGTTTGCAGGACTACGACATGCATATATTTTTGATGATGGCATGGCGTGATGCCCGTCTGGTAAATCCTTACCAAAAAGCGATCCTCGTTAAAGAAGAGGAAATCTTGGAGAAAATATGGCGCCCGGATCCATTCTTTGCAAATGCTAAAGAAGCTTCTTTCCATGAAGTTACATTCCTAAATTTCCTCATGAGGATATTTAACGATGGATTGGTGCTTTATGAAACAAGGTTTCTCTTCATTTCTGACTGAGAATTTTCATGCTAAATCTACAGGGAATGCCCACTTACATATATGACAGTATTCTTTGTCAGGAAGTCAATTCAGTTCTTTTAATTTTGTAATTCTAAAAAGTGACAGGCTCTTCAAGCTTAATGACTTATCCACCCATGAAGCTGAAATTTGCCTTTTTTCCGCTGGATTTTCTGAAGCCGCCATCACTTACAGTTTTCAAATGTGTCTCCAGATTACACGTCTTCAGATTTTATGCTCAGAATAAATCTATCAGAATAGTCTAAAAGTTTTTTAACTGCTTCTTTGTACCCATTCGTTTTGAAAGCCTGGAACAATTGATCGTACAGATGCATAATTTCTAAAACTTGTTACCAGGTTTTTTCATAAAATATGCATTAGAGCACTCTCTAGTGCTTTTTGTCAAGAAAACATAAAGCTGTTTTTTTTCCGTAACATCAGTTTGATATAATCAACAGCGGCTGTGCGGTCAAAACCTCGCATTTTTATGCGTTTTTGCTTAAATGCAAATGTAAAAACAAATATTATGACGACTCCGGTGTGTGTGTGTGTCCGTCTGTCTGTCCGTCCGAATATTTCAACTCGGCACCGAAGCAAGCTCCGACGCCAAAATTTTGCCAGTGGCTTCCCCGGCCAAATGCTACTCCAGGATCACGTTAGCAGTCCTCACGCAAGTCTGGGCCCCGCGTACGGGAGAGTGAAATTTTTGGCGAAGAAATCGATGACTCAGGAACCAGAAAAGCTGGAAAGCTGAAGCTGTGAGGTTATGTTTCCCGTCCACGTAGAATTCAAAGATTTCAAATTCGGCCTCCAAGTGTGCGTGGTTCCTGCGTGTAGCCCCGTGAGTGTTCCTGGCGCGAAAGTCGTTAATTTGGGAGCCCAAGTTAAACCAGGAAAGCTGGGAGGCTGAATTTTCAAGGACTGTTTTCAGCACAATTACAACTTACTATTATCAAATTCAGCCCTTCAGTATGTGTGGTACTCACATACGGCCCCATGAAAATTTTTGACAGGGTAACGGCTAACTCGGGAGCCAGAAAAGCTGGGAGGCTAAAATTTTCAAGGAATCTTTTCAACCCATGTACGGCTTAAATTTATTAAAATTAGCCCCTGGCGTGCGTGGCTGTGACATATAGCTCAGCAATAATTTTTGGCAGGAAAATTGCTAGCTCAAGAACCAGGAAATTTGGAAAGCTGAAATTTCAACGGAACGCCCTCT